TTCATGGTCCTCCAACTCTCGACCCGATATCGACGGTTTCGACCTGTAATCAGTTTTGGTTATGATTAGAAACAAAATATCATTTAACATATGTCCGTTTGAATTGAAAAACTCAATCTCGAATCGCTTTTATATTTAAACAAGTCAAACTCAAATAGCTAATCGAATTTTGTCGATCAAACAAATAGAGTCGAACATGTTTGCAATCAACTCTGTACGAGATTTCTCTTTGTCTAGGAAATGATGCCGAGTTAATTATTAGAGGCGAAATCAACAAAAAAAAAATAAAATAAAAATAAAAATAGATAACCGACTGTGGACTGAGACGAACCCAATTAAATAGCCCGTTTGAAAAGTCTGTGTCAAACTTAATTATCCAACTAATTTGATATTTATCAAGTCAACCGATTAAAAATATAAAAGGCAAGAATGTGTTGGGTCACATTATAAACTCAATTGATAAATCTAATAAGGTCATAATTATCATTTTACAATAAAGAATTGTATTTTTTCTTCACTATTTTTTTCACCATTGTTGTCAGATTAAAAATTTTAACTTGAAAATATTCTTGAGGCATTCAGCCTAAAATTAAATTGGGCTACATAAAAAATTACATGGGGCTAATGGGTTTATGTATAATTTTTTTAAAAAAATAAGGCTAGCAAAAATAACATTAGCAAAAAATTACATGGGGCAGGAGCCCACCCTAGCCTTAGGGTGGCTCCGCCCCTGGTTACCGTAGATTATTTTTCTTATCTACTGGTAAAAAACGCTGACGGTACCATTCTGTAACGTGAACTTAACATTTTCCACTAACTATTGACCACATTTTACAATGTCCTGGATTTATGTATATTGTGTTCAACTTCTTATACATTTCATTTAATATATTGATTAAAAAAAAACATTTCGAACTGTTTCATATTAGACATTTTATTTAAGGTGAAATTAGAATACACGGTCAATTTCGTACAATTCTAGAGCTAATTAATTTGTCGATTTTTAAATATTAAAGATAAAAGTATCGAGTAATTAACTCGGGTGAATAAAGAGAGTTTTCTCATATTAGTATCTAACATTCTAATAACATAGGCGTTATTAAACACATATTTTGTAATTATGCAACCCATCTAAATGAATTATGAGAAAGATATGAACAAGTTGAAGAATATTGAAAGATATGCATAACATAGTCCCGCTCACCTGCCCACGGTGGGTAGTGCCCACCACTTTATTTTACATGAAAAACGTATTCTGAGAATATATTTTTCATATAAAACAAAGTGGTGGGCACTGCCCACCGTGGGCAGGGGATCAAAATTTATGCATAACATATATATCAAATAGGAATAAAGAGAGAAAAGGTGTAAGGAATTTTTGCATAACATCCACAAAGAGATAAACCTATATAAAAGCAATTCCATCACTTTTCACTATTGTTCTTTCCCCACTTGGCTATTTTCAACTATATATTTATTCTCTTTTAGATTGATCCAATAATGTATACATTTCTATGGTGCCACAACATGATGTGACACATTATGATTGGTGCCACAACATGATGTGTGATAATTGTGGCACCAATCATAATGTGCCACATCATATTGTGGCACCATAACATGTGTCACATGTTGCACTATAGAATTTCTGAAAAATTAGAAGAAATTCTATGGTGCCACATGTGGCACCATATTATAGTGCCACAACATGATGTGGCACATTATGATTGGTGCCACAACATGATGTGTGATAATTGTGGCACCAATCATAATGTGCCACATCATATTGTGGCACCATAACATGTGTCACATGTGGCACTATAGAATTTCTGTAAAAATTAGTATCAAATTAAACCAAAAAAGCTATCCTATACTAAAGTCTCAAGTATACATTTGAGTTTGTAGAGAGTGACTTAAAATAGAATTAGTATAATAGATATAAAATTTGAAGGACATATACTTTACATTGAATCAATATTTTTATCTCATTTTTTGTACCAAAAAAAAAAATAAAAATATTTATCTCATTTTAACGAAAATAAGATAAAAATTATAGAAATTAATGTTCATCTCATCTCACTTTACTTTCTTTTTAGCAAAATTCCATTAACACAATTATAAAATGAAAAGGATTAATTAATTATTATATATATTCTTTTAAAAAATTATTCACTCTCATAATTCTAACTAACGATCAGTATCAATCAATTATTATTTCATCTTATATTGGTTTACGATTTCCAGTTTATTTAAAAAAAATAAATTCTTATTTCATTTAAGTGAGACAACTTTTTTTTTTTCATTTCAATTTTATAAATAAGATATATTTTCTTCAAGAAAAGCTTATGTATATATTTAAATTATATAAATATTTCTCCATGCGTGGTAAACACAATTACGAGAACGTTGTGTGCTGTCATCATTTTCACGTAAAGAACAATTTTTCACGTAGAGAACAATAACGTGGAAATGATGATGATTGGAAATAGTAAGTTTTTATTAAAAAAAATAAAATAAAAATTCAACAATCAAGCTTAATAAAAATCAAATTAACTTTTCTAAATAGTTATTTCCTAATTTTATTAAATGTTTATATTATCAATCAAAAAAATATTTATATTTTATATTTTCAAAATTCATTTTTTTAATATTGAAACTTCTAAAATAAAAATTTTATATGATTTTTTTTTTCCACTAAGATAATTTTCTTAAAGGAAGTTAATTAAAATCTTAATTAAGAATTAAAATATAAATTTGATTGATCAAATATTTGGTTATATACGCTGCGACAGTTACCACACGATTCCATACAACCAACCATCACCTGCCACGTTGACAATACCCCACATTGCCACAAAACCTTACCATGTACCTCTCCCCACACAACGAAAACCATCGCATAAAGTTCAAAACCTTAATAATAAAAGAAATAAATAACAATTTCAAAAACCGACCATCCAATTAATTCCATTACCAATTTACCTCCTCCAATGGAAAGCCCATCTGAACCCAGCAAAAATCACAGTACAAGAAATGGAAGGCACAGCAAATCCCACCTGTCGATGTCGGACACCGAATCAACCACCAGTCAAGTCGACTCCTTTCACTCCCCACTGCGCTCCGACGAGCCTCCCTTCCCGTCGGAAAACGACGATCCCGGCGTGAACAACTGCAGGTCGATCGTCTTGGTCGATAATTACAAGTACAACTCCCCCTTGCCGTCGCCGGCCAAGTCCAACCCCACCGCGGCGAATTCCCCCTTCGCGGGGGGCAATTTCGGCCGTCCGTGGCCTCCTTCGGAGAAGCTCTCCCCGGAAAATCCCGATTCGGGCAGCCGGAGGTCGCAGCACCGGCCGCCTGCGGCGGTGGTCGGAGTGAATAAGTTGGTGAGGGAGGAGCCGCCGTATGAGGTGAAGAAGATGGGACCGTCTGCCATCGCCGGCGGCGGACTGGAGGAGGGGTATGGTGCGGGTGGGTGGAGGGAGGATGAGGTGGGCGGGGAGAGGAGGTCGAGGGCGGCGGTGGCTTCCATCTTGAGGAGATCCGGGAGAAATGCCGCCGTGAAGAAGGTGGCCTTAGGGTTGAGGGCTTTCGAGGTTGTTGCTTGTTTGGTCTCGTTTTCGGTGATGGCTGCGGATAGGACTCGAGGTTGGAGTGGCGATTCGTTTGATCGATATATCGAGTACCGGTATAGCAATCATTCCCTTTTATTATTTAAATTTTACATTTTATCAGAAAAACCAAATTCTTGGATGTGTGTACTGTTGATTATTTACTTGGAGCTAATGTTTTTATGTTTGTTGATTGTGTTGGTTGCATTCCTAATTGGTTTTATGTTCTAGTTAGTTTTGGGAAGATGATGTTTATTGGTCATGTGGCTCGGGTCCATTGATGATTAGGGGAAGTTAGTTTACTGATCTTAAACATGTTCATTGTGGATGATTTGAAGTGATATATTGTCTGGTTCCTATAAGGTCCTTGGTTTGTCCTGCAAATATGTTCATTTTCGACAATCAGCATTAATTTGAGCAATATGAATTTTGATTGTCATTATTATTTGGAGTGTTTTCAGCTATTTGAGTTCTGGTAGCTGAATATGAGTCCTCAACTCAATGTTTGTAGTAATATTATTAAGTCACAGTCTCTGCCTATGTATCAGTTAGAGGGCTACTATAGAAACACAAGTTTACAAAATGAAGAAACTAAAATGAGCTGGAAATCATTTCCTTTTTTGTGCGTTGTGTTTGTTTAGTGTTCTAATTCTATCTTCTTCTCCAACACAGATATTGTGTGGCTGTAAATGTTATTGCCTTTGTGTACTCTGGTTTTCAATCCTTTGAAGTTGCTTACCATTTGGCCACGGGGAAACTTGTTATCGTTCATCAATTGCGTCACCTTGTTAGTTTCACAATGGATCAGGCAAGTCGAATTAAGCCATATCTATTCAGTTGTTTTTCAAGCATCCCTACTATTGTGAATGATTTGCTTTCAGTGTCGAGGCCACAATTTTCTTCTTTTATTCGCTTTTCTTACTTCGTGAATGTGACATACGCCTAATTGAAAAGAAAAAAACTTAAAGTAACATATAACCCCTTGACATTTTGTTCTGACAAGCTTGAGAGGGACCAACTGAACTTTTAATATAGTGATAGCTGGTCTTTTTGTGTAATTGAGCTAAATCTCAGAGGTCATTTTGCAATTATCGATTAGCTGAATGTTACCTTCTGCTTAATTTTCATATCTGCTTGCATGCTAATTCCAAAGTTAATTCTGACACTAATCAATCAAGTTTGTCCTTTTTATGTGGGCCCACCAGATTCTCGCGTACCTGTTGATGTCAGCGTCGTCATCAGCAGCCACGAGGGTTGATGACTGGATTTCCAACTGGGGAGGGGACGAGTTTACGTTGATGGCCAGTGCATCGATTGCTATGTCCTTCCTCGCTTTCGTTGCTTTTGCCTTGAGTTCACTCGTCTCTGGATACAACCTATGTAATTGGGAATTGACCTGAGCTACACGCGTATATGGCTATGTACTGATGATATTTATACATTATTTTTTTTCGGGATTATTACATGAACATGTTTAACTGCAAGCATAATTTAGAAGTTGTACATGAGTAGTGATACGAGGATAGATACATGTTGTTATTCCGGTATGAGTTCACAATAGAGTTTCTCTATTGTGGGGTCAAGTTGAGCCGAGCCTTCCTAAGTTAGCTCCTAAAGTTTTAAATCTATTGAATAAGTGCCATTTATATGGAAAATCAAAATATATATATTCTCATCTTGTACAGAAGTGTCCTGCTACGGCCCTGCATCAGTGTTACTTCGACTACATACTTCAACTGTACGGAGGTGGCTTCGCCTTATTAACTAAATCAACTTTAAACGAGTTGAGTCGCGAGTTGAATTCACGAGTCTTTGAAAGATATGTTTGTTAGTTTACTATTTGCTCATCACGTATGTTTAGAAGATTCGAAAATAACGAAACATAAATATCTTGATGATCAAATTTATATAGTGAACATGGGGTTGGTTCAAATAAAAACGAATTTTGGTGTGAGAACTGTGGAAACCGTATTTGATGCTATTTTTAATTGTGTATGATGCTATTTTTAATATTATATGTGCTATTATTTTCACAAATGCTGATATACATGATATACATTATGTTGTGTTTTTAATCAAATACATTCTGATTAAAAATTGCACTAAAACACAATCAATTATCGCACTACATACAATTAAAAATAGCAGTTTTTACGCCAACACTTGGTTCTCATTTGAACCACATCATGTGTACATAATATTAATTAATCTTGCATTGTGAATATATGTTATCATATATATATGTTTTTGTCATACATTATTATTATTATCATTATATTATTATAATTATTTGTTGTTGTTTTGTTTTGTGATTTCATGCATTCGGATTGTGTCAATAATTATTAATTCGACAAGTGGTTGTACTCGACTACAAAACAAGCTCGAGGAGGTTTTTTTTTTTTTT